TTAGGTGCCCGAGGGAGAGAGCGCCAGGGTCTCTGGAGCCAGTCAGGGGAGATGGAGGAGTTTCAGGAACAGAATTGGCCAAGAGGCTGTGTCTCCCTGCTTTTCCTGGGCTTGAGCATGGCAGTCGGGAAGACTGCTCGATGGTGGGAGGCTGGAGGCGCAGGGAGGGGCTGAGTGTGCTTTCAAGCTTAGAACAAACGTGAGGAGCCAATCTTCTGTTTCCTAAGACGCTCGGGCAAGGGGAGATGCTCTCACCAGGAGCAGCGAGTCCAGTAGGCCCCGAAGCTGACCAGCCTGCCACGTGAGGCAGGACGCTGTTCTCCGATGGAATGGAGCTGGGGGTGTACTCAGTGGCAGAGTGTTGGCTGGCATGGGCAAGGCCTTGGCTTCCATCACCAGCACTGCAAAGGGAGGTGGGAGGGAGGACAGGATGAAGAGTTAGACCCAGCAACAAAGGAGCGTGGGGCGGGGGGGGTCTGAGGCCGGGCAAGACCAGGCCGTGGAACAGAGGTAAGTCCCGGCGCCCCCCCCCCCCCCGGCCCCCCCCCCCCCCCCCCCCCCCCCCCCCAGTGTGTACAGAGCTGGAGAGGAGAAAAGCATCAACTGCAGAGAGGTACTGGGTCAGCTCTCCGGAAGAGACAAGGCCGGCGGGGCATCAAACCAGCCAGTGTGGAGCCTCTTAGCAGCGGTGAGGACATGGACCTCATCGTAGGGTCAGACACGGTACACTCGAGTGTTAATGAGACGGAAGTTAAAGAACCAACCTCCCCCAGAAGGAGCTGAAGTAAAATGGCTCCTACCTAAAATCCCAGTACTCAGGAGGTTGAGGCAGAAGGATGGCCAGTGAGCTCAGGGCCAGCTAGGGCTACAGTCAGAACAAGTCCAGCCTGGTTAGACTGGGAATATAGCACAGTGGCAGTGTCTGCTGAGCCTGGAGTTTGATCTTAGCAATACATGAGACCAAGGGCTTGTAATCCCAGCACTCTAGGAGTGGAGGCAGGAGCATAGGGCCAGCCTGGGCTACAAGAGATCCTGTCTCCAAAAGGAACAACAGTCACAACAAATAGACTCTGATTTGAGTCTGAGCACTTACTAGCTTTTGATGCTAATTACCACTCCCTGGCAAACAGCCCTGAAGAGACCTTTCCCTCCACGGGCCTCAGTTTCCAGATCTGCAGAGCCATCTTTTAAGCCCTTGGCAGCATAGAGGAGGTCTGCCATCAAGCTGATACCTCAAACCAAGCTGACACTGGATGAAGTGTGTGAGAGAGGAGACCCAAGGGAGGTGACAGGCTTCTATGGAGACAGCCACTGCCCTGAGGACCAGGAAGAAGTCTGCTCGGTGCCAGGTTTCCACTGACATGGCCGACACTGGCTATTCTGCAGATTCCTCAGGAAGGGGGTGCCGTGCCCTGTGCTGAGCTGTATGCTGTGGCGGCCTTCGCCCTCCACCCCAGAGATGGCTGGGTGCGGGGAGAGAGGCAGGAGTAGCGAGATTTGTGGGACCACTCGTGAGGATTGAGTGGGCGGCAGATGTGAGACTCTCGCTGCTGCATTCATGGCGGGTTCTCAGCAAACAAGACGGAGACATCCAAATCTCTCCCTTTCTCTGAGGCTCTGGCCCCAGACCCGCCAGGGTCAGCCAGATTGTTGACACACAGTTCCCTAGCTGTGTTCACGACACGGGCAGAATAAACGTTCAATGATGTGTGTGATGGGCAGTCCCCCGGTGGTGCTGATGGGTAGGCTCTGGGGGTCTCCGTGAAGGACTCGGTGCTCCCAAGGGCAGGAGCAGGCTTTTCAGTCAGCACCTTCCACGTGCACGATCTATTTGTGACTGCACGGCCCTCGGGCACTGGGGATCAACAGGCAAGGCAGCCCTGGGCTATGCAAAGCTTTCCCTAGTGGGAAAACACAGACGGGAGGGAAGAGGGAGGTAGGGAGGGGACAATGGCAGTGTTCTGGGGAGGTCTCTGTGAGGGCCAGGGCCATCGCAGCAGACTGCCAACACTCTCCCAGGCAGGAGAAACAGAACGGACAGGTACAAAGGCCTGGGGCGTGAACCGAAGGCCCACCTGGCTGGCTATGGTCACTGAGGTGATGGAGGAGATGCAGCCGAATGGGTCAGGGTCATGGGATGTTCCAGAAGGGTGATGTGTGCCCTGTGGGTTAGCGCACCTCCTGTTTGTGAAGGTTCCAGGTTCTGGACGGTAAGGACAAGAGGCCTCCATTACCTGGAGAGAGGATGGAGAGGGAGGGAAGGGCAAGAGAAAGGCAGGCTGCGGAGGGGCAGTCAGGCTTGGGGACTTCCCGAGGGAAGGGAACCCCGGGCCACTGCAACATTCTGGGCTTCACTTTGAGTTGGTGGCACCAAGCAGGATGGGGAGGCAAGGTCCTGAGGAACAGGGTTTCTCTGTGCAGCCTTGGCCATCCTGGACTTGCTTTGTAGACCAGGCTGGCCTCGAACTCACAGAGATCGCCTGCCTCTGCCTCCCTGGGTGCTGGGATCACAGGTGTGCGCCAGCGTCCCGCTCCAAGCCTCACTGTTATTCATGGTGTGTTTCTCATTGGGAAAGAATCTGGTGACCTTGAACTCACCACACTCTCTCTCTCCTCTAAGCTTTTCAGCAATCAAAGGGGTTTAACCTACAGGGTCTCCGGCCCAAACCCCTTCTTGTATTTCTGTGAATGGATGTTGCCTCCTTCCTACTGCTGTGGTGGTTTCAAGTTTTCCCTCCTGGGCCCTGGCTCTCCTTCTCCCCCTAAGGCAGCCAGGGTGTTAACTGTGAAAGAGCTTCCAAATAAGTGGTGTGTGTGTGTGTGTGTGTGTGTGTGTGTGTGTGTGTGCACACGCGCCGGGCCCAAGGCTGTGTCCACCAGCCCACAGTGTCCTTGGGCACAGCGTGGGCACCTGCCACCATGGTGCCCCGTGCACACTCCCGCTCCAACTCACTCATCAGCTTTCTCCTGTTGTACCAGGGCAGATCTGAAGGCAGCACATACTCCGAGAGCCTCCAGGGAGCGGAAGGAAGGGGAGGGGAGGGGAGGGGAGGGCGACAGCAGCTGCCTCTTCCCCGCTTGCTCCGAGGAGCCCGGCCCCCAGGCCCTCAGTGCTTTTCCCCTCCTTATCGATGCTGCGAGTTGCCTCTCGAAATTGCTCTGCCGTCATTAACACCACGGGTGAGGTCAGATGAAGGGCCCTCCGCAGTCTTGGTCGGCGATGGCAAACTGCTGATGTTGATTATCTACGTCGTCTGAGCACAGCTCCAGTCCGTGCCCAAGGCCCTTAATCAGACGTGGTGGGTGGGCCAGGGTCATGGTTGCTTCGGATATGGGTTCCAGGCCCAAAGGTACCACAGCATGGGTTTGCTCTGAGCCATCAGTGAGTGGTTCGTTCGTTTGAGCAAAGGCCAGGGGCCACACTCCTGATGCTCACCAGCTAGTTGGTTGGCCACGGGGCAGAGAGGTGCCTTTCAGATCACCTCTTCACTGGTGCCCCCTTTTGGGCAGGCCGGTGGCAGCGCTGTGGCCTCACACCTGTCTCTTGCCTCTACCTTCTACCTCCATCAACCTTTGGCCTCGCTCTAGACACACACACCAAGGTTGCCAGGCACAGATCTCTGGCCAGGGTGCCACAGGCCTCCACGCAGAACACAGCTCAGCCTCACTGCCAGCGGCGGCAGTGGTGGAGCCAAAGTTAAGGCTGTGGACCTGGGGGCTGAGGCCTTCCCCGGCTCTGAGACACTCACTGCCGCTCTGGGTGTCAGGCTAGAAGCAGCGGAAGGCGAGAGCCTCTGGAGCAGTGCCGCCATGGAGCCGACAGCTGGCAGGAGCCGCACAAACACTCCCGATTGGGAGGGTGGGAACCCAGTCCTCTCCCCGGCCACGGCCAGCCGTCCTGGGCCGCCTTGCTTTGCTCGACATCTCACACTCCACCCACACTCACCGCTGACTCTAGCATCATACCAAGGCCTCGCTCTCGTTGTCTGTTGCTGTCACAACCCCTGCAGGCTCCCATTCCTCTCCCTTGCTCCCCCTGCCCCCGACACCATCCCTGGCCTTTCATGCCACCTTCCAGAGCCTTCCTCAACGCTGCCCAGCTCTGTCTGCGTGAAAAAGCGCAACAGCTAGGGAGGACGGGACCACACAGACTACGGGCTTCGGCAAATGCTCAGGTCCTCAGCAGACTTTCAGTTGAACCTCCTTCCTGCCTCTCCATAGCTGCTGCCTGGACATCAGAGAGGGAGGGAGGAGGCCGCCTGCTGAGCCGCACTGCTTTGGTCCCATGCCCACAGCATGCCTGTGGTGAAGGGGTGACCTGATCTTCACCCAGTCATTCAGAAATGCGTTTTAAAACGCATTCGTGCAGGCGGTGGTGGCTGGCACATGCCTTTCATCCCAGCAGGGAGGCAGAGACAGGCAGATCTCTGTGAGTTCTGGCCGGCCGGGTCTACAGACTGAGTTCTGGGACAGCCAGGGCTACACAGAGAAACCCCGTCTCGAAAAACAAAACGATAATAAAATAAAAACACATTTCTAATCATAAATTTTGGCAAATCCCCTCAAGTGTCTGTGCTTTTGTGCCACCCCATTATATGGAGTTGGAAACTGGATTCTTCCTAAGCAACACATACAGAGTGCCAGGCTGTGTGGGAATTTCTTAGGCCCCGATGTTCATTCTCTCTCATTATCATATTGAACCATAGTTTTAGACATAGATTGACTAGCAGCTCACTTGTGGTTCAGACTGCATTTCGGTCTAAATTTGAAATCGATTGAAAATTGGAAAACAATAAAAAAAAACAGAACGCAAAGAAATAAGTGGGAGACAGAGTTTTCTTTATGCAGGGAGGGCCCCAGCCCAACCCAAAAGGGAGCTGCCCTCCTTTTGCCTCCCAGGGGAATCCCAGTGCCCCTCCCTGGCTGTCCGCTCCAGGCGGCAGGACTGAGTCCAGCTGATCTGGAGCCATGGGTAAACAGAAAAACACATGTGCAGATGCAAGAAAGGTGTTCTGTTTGTTTTCAACCCTGGCCCCGGCGGATGCACAGAAGATTGCTTTCCAACAGCGTTCGCGCGCACCTGCTCAGAATGCCCAGCTACCAGAAGGCCACCCTTATCAGCGGCGACAGGCATCCAAGGTGTGTGGGGTGATGGGTGAGGAAGTCGAAGCCCAGCAAAGCGTGCCCTGAGGCTGAGGAGGGCCCGCGGGTAGATTTGCTGGAGGGGAAACAAGCCTCCAGGCTTGGGGCTGCGACCCCAGGGCCAGAGGGCAGGCTGGGCCAGGCAGGAGGCTCAGGGCTTGGCTGGAAGACACTGCCTGGGAGATGCTCGGACCCTCCCTGCGCTCCCAAATGCAGGGCTCCGAGCCGGGTATGGTAGGAGCCGGTGGCAGAGCCCAGGGAGCTGAGGCCATCCTCTCAGTCTACTGGAGGAAGCTTCCAGACCCGGGGGCTGGCTCGGCCCCTATGGTCACGACGAGAGGAGGAGGAGAAGGAAGGAGCTGGCTAAAGGTTCGGGCGACTGGCCAAGCCTAGGGTTGGCGGGCACCAGAGGCAGATGGGCACGTGCCCACAGACCCACCCTCCACGGGAAACCAGACCAGCCCGCCTGGCACCAGGCTGGTGGCCACCTCCCCAAAGGGGAGATGGAGAGCTTGCTCCGGGCTTAGACCCTCGCGTGGCGGCTGGCGCACACACGCCCAGCCAAGCCCTCTGCCCCGAACCCCGCCCAGACGCTGCCCAAACAGGTGCCCCCGGGGCCGTGCCTCCCTCCCCGCCAGCACGCAGACCCGGGACAAGTGGGGTGGGGGGGACCGGTGCGGAGGGCGGCGCACACGGCCCTGGAACCGTCTCCGGCTGTCGCCAGCCCTGTCCCCCTCATCCGGAGCCGCGTCTCCCCACGCCCGCCACGCGCGTGCACACACACGCGCGCACACCCTCCCCCCCCCTCTCCCTCCCTCGCCCCGCGCAGACCCCGCCCCGGCCCCGCCCCGGCCCCTGCGGGCGGCCCCTCCGGCGCCCGGCGGACCCCCCGGCACGCAGCGCGCGCGCGGCTGGCGGGAGGCGGCGGCGGTGGCGACTCGGGGCACATTTGATTTTCCCGCAGTCCGGGCACCCCGGAGCTGGAGCCCCAGCAGAGGACGCGGCGCTGCGCCCCGAGCCCGAGGCGGCGCCTCCTCCCACCGCCTCCTCCCCCACCCCCCACGGGGTCCCCACGCCCCCTCGGGGTCCCCTCCCCGCCGCGCCCCGGCTCCCTGGCCGCGGCCCCCGCTCTCCGCCCCCTTCCCGCTCTCGCTTCCCACGCCCCCAATCCGCGCTCGCTCGTCTCCTCCCCTGGCCGCCCAGCCCGGGGCTCCAGCCGCTCCGGAGGAGGCGTGAATCGCGCAGGGATATTGACTAATTTGGGGTGGGGCGGGGTGGCGGTGGCGGTGGTGGTTCGGGGCGGGGGACGGTGGGCGATGGAGCAGCCCGAGGACATGGCGTCGCTCAGCGAGTTTGACTCCTTGGCCGGCAGCATCCCGGCCACCAAGGTGGAGATCACGGTGTCGTGCAGGTGAGCCGCCCGCCAGCCGCGTCCCCCTGCCCCGCCCCGGGGCCGGAATCCCTCGGCCCCCTGTGCGGAGCGAGCCCGCTCTCCCGTGGCCTCGCCTCCCGGGCGCCCCTCATCTGCCGGCCTTCGGAGACCCCCTGCCCAGGGGCTAAAGGGGCAGGCCAGGCAGGGGGTCGGGTCCCCAGAAAGTTTGCGGCAGGAGCAGTTGCTTCCGGGACAGCGGGAAGACGGGGGGCGGGGGGGGGGGAACGGGGGTCCCAGCTCCCGGGTGGGAAAAGGTGGGGGCTGCCCCTTCCGCCCAGGCTCGCTCTGATGCGCCCTCTCCAAAAGGAGAAGTGCGTGACCCGCTGAGCCTCCCGAGACCTCTGCTCTCCACCCCCGGGGCTGTGCCCCAGCCTGCTCCCCGTCCTCCAGTCCTCCACCGTCTTAGAACCCGGGATTTGAAAGCCTTCTCTTGCTTTCACCTCCCGCCAGAAGGACCGGCTGGGACAGACACTCTGAGTGCGGGAAGCCCTGGCGAACTTAAGAGTGGCGCCATTAGAAACCGGTGACTCGGGTGGAAGAACCTGAAGCCGGAGGAGCGAAGGGCCGAGGGTGAAATGGGAGGAGGGGGTAGCTCGTTTTTGTAGGCCGCCTCCCTCGAGGCCCCTGTGAGGCCATGCAGGTCGGGAAGGACTTCTCTGAGAAGCTGGGCCTCTCGGGCTCTCTGAACAGGCTGCCCCAAGGGTAGCCGGGCAGGTGGCTGGCCCCGGGGCACACTGCTTTGATGGGTCTAGGAGGGACACCGTGGCCCAGATAAACCTCACCCTGAGGTCCCCGCAATGGCCCCCAGCATTCCAGAGCCCTGCAGCACCCTCCTTCGGAACCATTCGCCTCCGCTCCTTGCAGGTCACCGTTGGGCCAGACTTTTGCCTGCGTCTTGGCCCCTCAGCTCTGAGTTACTGACTTGAGGCACTGGGGAGGCGTAGGTGGGGCCTGGGGGGGTGTGTGAAAGAGGACGGATTCTGGGGAACTTCTTCCCGAGGACTTGAGGGGAGCCAGGCTCTCCAGGGGGCTGCTGTGGTGACTCCCAAATGTATGTCTGTGCCTCCCCCCCCCCCCCCCCCCCGAGTCCCACACAGAGATGATCTGAAGCTGCCTCTACTCGGCTGGGAGGTTCCCGATGGCCCGTTAGCTCCAGCCTCACCTCCGCAGCTGTCAGCAGCTGCCGGCTTGCCCTCCTTCCGCACACAGCCCTGCCTCCCCGCCTTCAATCATGCCTGTCGCCTTCAGGCTCTTCAGTTGTCTCTCAGAGCCTTCCCACCTCTGGGCTTCTGAACAGCCTGTTCCCTACCCGGAAAGGCTTTGTGCTCTCCACTGCCAGGGACAGCCGCCTAAAGCCCTGGCTCCTACCTCCACAGGTCCCTGAGGGCAGCGCCTCTGGGTGAGGCGGGGCTGCACCTGCCCCAGGGGAGAAGGGGCGAGAGCAGCGAGGCTTGGGGTCAGACACCCGGTGAGGGATCCCGCGTGAGGCGAACTTTAAGCCTCAGTTTCCCAGTTGCAAGTCTTATCTCCTCTCAGGGAAGCCTTGCTCAGAAGTAGCGTGTGTGCTTGGTTGGCGCACATAGTGGGTGCAAACAGGGCGGGCGGATGGAGTGGTGGGTACAGAGGAGCATGGCTCACTGAGCAGCCGGTGGCCACAGTGATCAGCCCGAGACAGAAGCTCTTGGTCCCTCCCTGTGCTTTCTGGAAGCATCCAAAGGATGTTCTAGAGGTACCTGCTGCAGCAGGCTTCCGGGAGGTTGGGCTGGGTTGACGCTGCCGTCCATCCCTCGGAAGGGACATGAGCCACGTTTTGTAGAAGGCCTGGCCAAGCTCTGCTTCTGCTCTCCTGAGGTGGGAATGAGGGAGATGTGGTTTTGGTGAGGAGAGAGGAGGATAAAATGGTCAGTTGGAACAGGGGGAAGGCAACAAAACAGTCTGGGTGGCCTTGGCTCTATAGGTCCATGGAGATGGTGGCCTTGACTCTCTAGGTCCACAGACATCCATGTTCAGGGGAGGGCAGAGCCCTGAAGAGCCCACTTTGCCATCATACCCTTTATCCCATGTTTACCAACTCAAGAGTCTCTTTCCCTGCACCTGGCCAGCTCTCATTAGAGCCCCAAGAACAGAGACTTTAGGGTGCCTTACCATGAGCAGCTCAGTGACCCCCCACTGGCATCTTCCTCCAAATGGGCAGCCGGGAGCAATGCCTCAGGGTGTCTGATGAGTTCTTCAGCTCCCTTGATCCAGGCCCAGAAACTCTGTCTTGCCCTAGGAGCTGTTCTAGAGACATGCTGTGCCTGACCTGGGCACGTCAGCAGAACAAGGCTGCCTGACACAGCCTTACCCCAAAATCTCACTGGTGTTCCCTGTGTGTGTGTGTGTGTGTGTGTGTGTGTGTGTGTGTGTGCAGAAAGCAAATGACACCATGGGGCAGACACTTTAGGGCCTCTGCCTCTAGAGGACATCTGGGCCAAGCTGTGGTGCATTCCCAAATGAACTACGTCACTCCAGTAGACCCAAGCCTGAGGGTGAACCAGCCTTGTGTTATTTGACTTATTGGTCAAGAACGTGAGCTTGGCCAGCCCTCGGGAGGTAGAGGCAGGTGTATTTCCGTGAGTTTAAGACCAGCCTGTTCTATGTAGCCAGTTCCAGGACAGCCAGAGCTACCAAGAGAGACCTTGCCTCAAACAAACAAACCAACCCCCAACAACAATGGCAAACAAAAGAGTGTGAGCTTGCCTTTATTCCCAGCACCCAGGAGGCAGAGACAGGCATAGCTCTGTAAGTTCCAGGCCATCTCTCTCTTCCTCTCTCCCTCCCTCTCCCTCTCTCTCTGTTTGTATGAGCCCGCACATGCGCACACTCAAGGCTGTTGATCAACCCCATATCATGCATGCACGCTACCACTGAGGCACAGCCCAGCTCTCTTCCTGTGGTCTCCGGTGAGCTGCTTCTTTTCCCCTGTCTGGCCTCAGTTTCCTCCTGTGCAGAAGAAGCCTAGTGGTCCCTGTCAATTTCAGGGATCCGGGGGATTGGTCTGAGAACAGCGGCTGGTATCAGCACTCACTGAGCTCACACAGTAACAACGGTCCCTGTCCAGTGGTGGATGCCGGGGATGTGCAGAGGCCAGGAGATGATGTGATGTAGCGATTCCTTGAGGGAAGGTGGTTCGTGGCACTAGATTCCGGCAGACAGGCGTGGTATGAAATGTGACTTTACCCGCTCCTGAGCCCTGTGCCTCTCCTTCCTGACCTCCCCTGAGTAGGAGCGTTAGCCATTCTGCAGACCCATCCAAAGCTTGCCTGAGTCCTGCGCCTCTTCCTCCAGAGGCCCTGGCAGCCCTGTTCCGTGCCTGTAGCCGCAGCAGCTCTGTGGTCGGAAAGAATGGCCTTTTTCATGTTGCAGGGAGCCTTTGTGCTTGGGCAGGGTCGTGCTGGAGACGCATTCGAGGGCTCCTGAGACCAGGGCAGGTTGGATGCGTCCTCAGGCTCTACCACAGCTTTCATTTCCCACCGCTGGTAGGGGCTGGTGGGTGGCTGGGTCTCTGCCCTAAAGGTTGGTTACT